CTAACTAACTAACTACTAACTAACTAACTAACTAACTAACTAACTAACTAACTAACTAACTAACTAACTAACTAACTACTAACTAACTAACTAACTACTAACTAACTAACTAACTAACTAACTAACTAACTAACTAACTAACTAACTAACTAACTAACTAACTAATAACTAACTAACTAACTAACTAACTAACTACTAACTAACTAACTAACTAACTAACTAACTAACTAACTAACTTAACTAACTAACTAACTAACTAACTAACTAACTAACTAACTAACTAACTAACTACTAACTAACTAACTAACTAACTAACTAACTAACTAACTGACTAACTAACTAACTAACTAACTAACTAACTAACTAACTAACTACCTAACTAACTAACTAGATTAATAACCTTTAACCCTTAAACACTTTAAGGAAAATTATCGAACTTTTCCGATGTTGTTAATATGTTTATAAAGAGTTTCTTTGGATCCGGAACAGAATAGTTCTAACATGTTTTTAATAAATTCTTTATTTATTGTTAATTTTTTGCTAAAATATCTAAAATGAAAATTTGTGAATTTTGACCCTTCAAAGAAAGAAGAGAGTTAGACTAGCCCGATTTTGTTCGTAGGTATATTCAGAATATTTTCTTTATAATTTGAAGTAATTTTGGAATTTGTTTAATAAATACTTTAAAAATCATTTGCTTTTTAAACAAACCACAAGTATTATAGTATTTGACCTTTGACCCTTCAATGAAAATAGTCAGACTTTATCATTATTGTTTATATGTTCATTAACATTTTGCTAAAATTACAAATATTTGACCTTTTACCCTACAAGGTAAATGATTAGACTTCTTTATAGGTTTAGAAAATGTTTCTTTAAATTTTGTATTCAATACTTTTAACATTTGTTTAATAAACTTTATAAATCTTTAATTTTTTCTTGAAATCACAAATACTCGAACTTTGACCCTTTAAGGGAAAGGGTCTGACCGATTTTGTTGATATGTTAAGAAAAAAGTTTCGCTTCATCTCTGACTTCAAATATGAAATAAATTTATTTAAATCAAGTTTTGTTAACAATTTTCAGTCAATTAAATAATTTATGGCCAAAAGATGTCTTGATCCCGGAATCTGCGATAATCAGAACGTTTTTATGGCTAAATTATGAGAGTTAATGACTTAAATATTTCTCCAATTTATTAATTTATACATTTTTACTAAAACACTTGAGAAAAGTTCTTAAAATTTTAAAATTTGTTTAACAAAAGTTTTAAGAAACTAAAATAGGAATTTTAGATTAAAAAAAAAATCCAAATTTCTCATAGTTTAAGTGGTTTCAAATTTCTGGGAGCATGGAGCAGGGTTTAATAATACCCAATTCAACTCAAATGTTCAGTATGAAGCTTTGTCTTAGGTGTAAGAATATGTATTTCTAGCCGGGCTTCTCCAAATTTTAAAAAATACAAACAGAATAAATCACTCTTTCATACATTTCAAATACAACTCCTAACATTTATCACAATAAAGAGATATGCCAATAGTCTAGCACAGTTCTAACTAAAACACAAATTGTAAATTAGGGCAAAAAAGAAGAAACCAACAAAATATTATGATGTAAAACCTAATGTGTCTAACTAACTAATTGAATATGTATGAAGCTGGACAAAAAATATCAAGAGAAAAACCTAAAATGCATAAACTTTGAAAAAAATTACAGCTTTAGGCAACAGTATGTTACAATAGTATTTGCCAAAACGAAATTTCTAACTAAAATAAGGACATGGACTGCTTGCTTGCCCGGCTACTACCAAGTAAGTAAGTATTTGTCGACTATTCAACTCTTATTTGTGATTTCATATGGTTTTTACATCACACAGAAATTACACATGTAGAAATAATTTACATAGTTTACACAGATATAGATACACAGATATAAACACACAGATATATAGATACATATACACATACTGAGTGGTGGAGTAGTGATTTTATAAACAACAACACAATTTGTGTTGCTCATTCTTTGGTAATTAATCATTTTACAAAACAAGAATGTATGTGTGTGCACATAATTTATGCACAAAAGCTAAAGAGAGTAATACAGAGATAGACCGAGAGAGATTGTGTCTTGCTCATCATAAACGTAAATTACATATATTGCGTAAAAAACAACATTAAATTACATGCCAGTAAATGTACATTTTATCATATTTTACACACAGTAGTTTGTAAATGATTTAAATAGACACAAGTGTCCTTCTGTCTGTCTGTCCATTTGCAAGGATGGACAGACATATAGAAATTTGCAACAGCTTTTTCAAATACACAGACACTTGTCGCTCAGCAACAATAACAACAACAGTTGTTGGTTGTTGTTCATTCATCTAACCATCCATCCATCCATACATCTATCCTTACACTCATTTAGAGTCCTTCATTCATTTACTAAATGTGAACTTATGCTAATGCTGGACTATTCAAGTGTGAGTTCATGTTTCTCTCTTAGTTTTTTTGTGCTGTAATTTATAATACATAGAGTGTAGCATAGCATTTAGGCGTCAATTGGTAATTTGTATTGTTTTTTTCTTTGTGTGTCAGCATTTGCTGTGTGTTTATTAAATTCATCAAATAGAAAAATGATTAAATATTAGTTCAGTTGTCAAAATTTTTTTTCTTATGCATAAAGGGGGGAGTTGAGAAATGTCATTAGCAGTTTTTGTTAAAGGTTTCTTGGATTAAGAGTAACATTTGTTTGTAATAAAAAAACTGTTATAAATTTTTTAAGAAATTGTGAAAGTTTTAAATACGAATTGAATTTGCTGTTGTTTATAGTTATGGTCCTTCGAACGAGTTATGTCTAACAGGAATTGAGGGAAGTACAAAGGGTATGTCTGATCATTTGCTTATGACCTTGGACTTCGGAGTAACACCTTCAATAATAAGTCCTAGTAGGGATGATTATTGGTTGGATCCGAGGTACTGTTTGAGGGGTATGTCTTCTTTACTGATGGAATCTGGCACAGGGACCGGGATTTATCTGGTAGATGGCATAAAAGTGTCTTATAGACTTCCGGATGAATGTAGCGTCTTTCAGGCGGAGATCCTGACAATATGGAAATTCGTGGACATTATTAGGACACACATTTCTAGGTGGTCGGAAGCAAAGATTTATGTTGATAGTCAGGCAGCTTTTAAAGCTTTGCAGTGTAAAACGTTACATTCTAACTTGGTAAATAGCTGCAAAAGGGACCTGGAGGGGTTAGTCAGCCTACACACAGTAAGGCTGTGTTGGGTACCAGGACACTGTGACGTACAGGGTCATGAGATCGCAGATATTCTATTACTATGGACTAATCTCCAAAATACTCAAAAACTCCACCAACCGATCCTGGCACAGTAGGCTGTATTGCAGGAGTTCTAAGACATTATGGCCGAAGTTAAATCAAAAAGCAAACAGAGTACTATTAGGACTAGACAGGAAGATTATTAGGATTTTAGTAGGGGTAATAACCAGGCACTGCTCAGTTGGAGCCTTTAGGGGTAATATGGTCGATAACATACAGGATTTTTGCAGGTCGTGTGAGGACGAATAGGAACTGGAAATAGTAGAGCATATTTTATGCTACTGTCCCAGAATACAGAGTTTGAGACTGGACTGGCTAGGCAAAGATTCCACTATGAACTAGGAGATGTAGCAGGGTGTAACTTAGACTACATTCTGGGCTTTATCAGGGGAATACTTTGGTTATTCAGATAACGGACAATTAGGGGAATCCCTTCCATGCCCACTCTTTTCCTTTAATCTTTCTTCCTTGTTCTTTATTAAAGGGAATCACAATGGACCTTTGTGTCTCCGAGTTGATGTATACCTTGGTATAAAACCCTTTTAAACTAAACTATGGTCTTTCAAACCCAATTGACTTAATAAAAGAAAATAAAAGTCATATTTTGCTCTCTTGCGTTACCAAATTTTGTAATATTTTAAGGTCCTTCGAAATCAGTTAAGGTATTTCATTAAAAAGTATTAAAAACCAAAAAATTGTTATACATTTTCATGAAATTATGAATGTTTTAAATATGAATTGAATTTCCTATTAAACACAATTATTCTTGCTAACTTTTATAGTCAAAGTTATGGTCCTTCGCACCCGTTTGACATAATTGATGGAGAAATATAAAGACAAACATGTTTTTAACATCACATTGTAACTATATACATCCCGATTTTTATAAATTGTAAGAATTTTAGAAATGGTCCTTCGAACATTAAATTTGGATTAAATAACCGAGACCATTTCAAGGTGTTAAAGAAAATCTAGAATAAGTTCATTTAAAGTATTCCAGAAAATATATAGTCATTCATTTTCCCGCCATTTCTAATAACTAAATTTACCTTAAACTAATTTATTCAAATTGTCCTCTCCTCAACGCGTTACAAGTACAATATAACAGCTAATGAAAGGATTACAACTAATTTAAATGAGGGTTTAGGCCGCAAGCTCCAATCCCACTGAAAAACAAGAACACCGCATAACAAACCATACCAACGCCAAGGTAACAAAACAACAACAACAAATGACAACAACTAAATCCCCCACATGAGACACGCAATGTTCTTTTTGGATTTAATACAGCGTGGATTTTATTTAACACCACAGCAGCACGTGCGTGCCTGATGATTACAATAAGGCGGTTGGATTTGTAAAACATTTTCAATGACTTTTGTTTAGAGGGTGTTTTCAATGCAGGAAAAAAGGATCTATTACTTACAAATTATTGTACAAATTTGTTGACAAAAGGATTTGTGTTTTTTTTTGTCAAACGATAACAATTTAAAATATTGGGATTTTTAAAAAATTTAAAAAAATGTAAAGTCTATTTCTTTGTAATCCTAGGCACACTTTTAGCTTAAAGGTTTTAGTGTTTTTGAAAACTCATAAAAATGTTAATTTTTTTTAGATTTAAAAAAAGATAATTTTATTTTCCTGTTAGATAACTTACCTTAACTTGTGATTCAGTCATTCCTAAGGCATACGCTAGTTTAGCTCTTTCTGGTCCAGCCAGATATTTGGTCTGTTCGAAGGTTTTTTCCAAGGCAAAGATCTGTTGACCACTAAATGTTGGGCGGGTGTGTTTTTTCTTACCATCCTTATCATTGGATGAATGATGCTGGTGTGATTGTGATAGATTGGCGGTCACTGGAAGAGAAATTTGAAAGAAAATTTGTTAATAAAATTATAATTATATAATTATATATTCCCCTAAAAGTCATAGGATTTCCGATAATATCCAATTAGATGAGCTTATGAATGTATGATCTACGATCACATCAAATATATCATTGAGATCAATATCAGAATTTCCCAAACAGAGTCCTCATTAGCAAGAAACAGTTTGAGATTGATCGGTTACAAAAGGGCAAGGGACACCACAGAAGGGATCAATATCAGAAAAGATACCAATTAGACAAGTTTATGAATGTATATAACAGTTATACGATCATATCAAATAGAATATATATCATATCAGAATTTTTCCATCATAGAGCCATCATTAGCAAGTTAAACGGCAATGCAATTAAGAAGAGCGTACCCGTATCCTCTAACAAATATGTGTGTTATTGCCTAATGACTTGGATAGACGTTCGGCATTCTCGGACCAGTTTAGATGTGTTGTACATTCCAATCCAATTCTAATAGAGTTAGAATAAATATGGCACCCACAGCCCTTAATATATTAACCGACAGCCAGAAGGCAATTAGCGCGATATCAGGTGGTAAGTTTTACATCATATGGCTACCTGGCTACTCGGAAGTAGTCGGGAAGGTAGCTAGCTCGAGGCAGTTAACCTGACAAACGCAAAATCATTTGACGCAACAAAAGCTGAGTTAAAAGTAAGGATGAGAGAAATCCCATAAGGCCTCTTGGAATAATGAACAGTGGTTAGAACCACAAAGATCCTACGCGGTGACTCTGATGAGAGCAAGACGAAAAATCTTCTCAAAATAAGCAAATCTGAAGTTAGTATGATGGTACGTATTCTGAGTGGACACACAGGATTACGAGCACATCTTTGCAAAATTATACGTGCGGATTCAGACGAATGTAGAGCAACTCTGGAGCACTTTCTTTGCCACGGTCAAACATTCGTCGAAGTTAGATCCAAGTATCTCGGAAGTGATGTTATTCCGGATATAACATTTCTGACTAACACTGATTGGAAGATACTTAGGAATTACGTCCAGGAAATTCAGTTTCTGAACATTGAAAAATAATACATTCAGTGAAAAGGAGCGCACAACAGCCCATATAGTGGCCTAGGTGTATTTCTTGGATTTGATTACCGAGAGCGTCCTCATGTTTTCTCACCCATACGAGTGTAATCAGCGAATTGTAGGAGTCCGTAGCTCTCCGAGAAACATGTTTGCTTTATATGAGCTTAAGTAGTTTTAAAATTAAGAGAACTCTTTGTCTATCTCCGCTTAAAAGGTGCTAAAGGTTCGCTTATGCTATTATGTAAAATAATGTAAAATATGAAAAATCGAACGATTACATAACTTTATTCATGAAATCCGTTATATCATTTGAAAGTTCCATCTTTTGACTTTAAATATCTGTTATATATTCCTCCTTCTTGGTGATATCTTCATCTAAAGCTTGAAACAATTGTAAATTGACAAACATGTATAGTAATTTTTAGAGTTAACTTAAGATTAAGTTATCTCTAAGAAGAAAGAAGATATAAGGAAGGTTAAAGTCATATTTTAAAGTCGACAGATGGGACTTTCAGGGGATGTAACAAATTTTATAATTAAAAGTGTTTTAGAGTTGTTATAGCGTCTCAAATATGGCCAAATTTTTGGTCACATTATCACAAAAACCTTATGTTTCGACTGGACTCAAAGTATAATTATAAGAAATATGTAATAAAAATATATGACAAAGTAATCATTTCTTTGTCATGTTCCAAAAATTTATCACAAAATAAAACATTTCTTTGTCTTTTTCCAAATTTCATAATGCCTTTGCCGATATAATAATATAACTTTTGATTGCTGTTTAAATTAAATCAATTTTTAATGATTTTTAAATCAAATAATTTGCATAAAACAAAAAAAAATATTGACACATTGTCACAAAGAGCAGCAGCAGCCAGTGAGGGGGGACATATAAAAAAAAATTGGTCATAAATTTTGAAACAATGGACACAAATGTCAGGCATTGCCAATATAAAAATAACAACAAATAATTAAAATGGCATAATTAAATAACAAATAATATTAAGCCTTAATTGCTGAAACTGTAACAGCAAATAATAAAATATATATTGTATGTAATAAACACCCACACATGTACATTTTCTTTCGGCAAAATTGCCAAGCATAAATTTATGTTTTATATAATGATTATTTGGGGGACAAATTAAAATAATAAAATGAAATTAAACCAAAACTAATTGACCACAAATTAATTTATGTAAAAATCTACATACTGAAAGCAGGCCCCAAACATAAACTAATTAAATTCCGGGGCTTATTAAGCAGGGAAAAGGAAGATTATATTATGAACACAATAATAATGACCTGTATGGAGAAATAAGGCAACGAAACCATGCAAATCAATTAAAATACACCAAGTGTTAGTGGAATCATGTTGAAAAACCTTTAGCAGACCATTTAAACAGTTACTCACACCATTTAGACACAAAAAATTCTAGCCAACAACACTTAAGAGCCCTATATCAAGCCAATAAAAGACCATTTGTATAAACAAAACGCCCCCGTAGGAAATGAATGCTTAACTGCAGGCAACACAATTTCCTCTCTTTCTCCCCTTACTAGGTTTTTTTCTGGGTTTATTTATTAGTAACGGTTATTTAAAGCCACAACCTAGAACAGCAACATCCTGTAAAACTTATTACGTTTGTGTATGAGTGTGTGTGTGTAAGAGAGAGTTGTTTTACCACAAATTTTTAACGATGAGTGAGCAATTAATGTCACCCCATTATTAAAATGAAGGACCCTTAATTATATTTAAAATAATTTTATTAAAATCAAGCTTTTTTATCACTTGATAGCTAACTGTTGTTCTCTTTTACTTTGAAGGCAAAAGGTAATTTTCCAAAAATTTTGTCCTCAACTATGTAGTCAACAGTTTTCAAGGCATTTATAAACTCTTACAAAAAAATGTGTTTACGGCCATTTAACCATTATGGATTTTATGTTTTCGTTGTTGTTGTTGTTACTTTTGTATATATAGGTGGTGGTATGAATTATTAAGGGTTGTTTTTGCGCTTTTTTTAAACGTTGCCTTCAAACATTTTTGGCCCATTGTAATATTGTTTTACATTGAAGTCCCTTAATGACTCTTTGGTTGTTGGAATTTTGAAGGTTTTGTTGGGTTTTTATACAAATTTTATATAAAATATTAATTTAAAATTGTTGTTTGTATATTAAAATAATAGGTTTATGTTTTAAGGTTTTTTTTCGGTGTTTTTATTAAGTAGGTTAGTGGATCATATACATATTTGTATTTAAAGAACTTTTTAGACTTTATGAAGAATTAAATATTTAAACGAATTTAAAAACTAGACTTAATTAAGTCGAGAAAGAGTTTTAAAAATGTTCACTTTGTGCTGATGTTTGTAGCACTTGATAATATTGGTCCTACACCTTCCTTAATGTATACCAACCGGCTTAGAATCAATTTTAAAGTTAATTCAATGAAATTTGTTACGTGATATTCTATTGTCCCAGGGACGAAGCCTATTTGAAATAGTTAGGATCGGTACATTACCTAGTTTACCTAGTCCCCATACAATTGAACCCTCGAATTGGACTTGTAAACCTTGTAATCAAACTACAGGTTGCAATTTTAAAGATAATGAAATGAAATTTGGTACATGATCTGCTATTGTCCCAGTCTATTGAAAATGGTTAAGATCGGTTCATTATATCACCTACGACATACGACTGAACATCCCTAATAGGAGTTTTGAGTTCATAATTATATATTTCATATTTCGACAAAAAGCTGTACAACTTAATTTTATAATTGCCTTGATGACCCTGCCGATCCTCAAAGACCCCTTCCTTCAGACCCAATTTTCAGAAAAGTACTTTTTCATCAATAAATTGCTTATTAGGTATTTAACTGATATGCTTTATTGTGAAAAATAAATTACATTTTATTCTCTTAACTGGTCGGCTACGCTCGACTATAATTTCAGGTTGTCTAACATGTGGTTAATTGCAGAAGAGTTTCGACAGTCATAATGGTCCCAATTAAGCTTGAGAATCTATTAGTTTTACTTGAATATTAGTATTTTATCAATTGACATGTAAAAGGAGCTATAGTGAATCATGATTATATTGATTTTAAGCAATATAGGGGGAAAATCCATATTTATTAAGTGTTTCTAAATTATCTAGAAATAAATCATTTTAATTTATATCAAAAAATATGAGAATTGATTTAGTAACACTTCAAAATATTGTTCGTTGATCCACAAAATTATGTATTAGATCTAGCCATGTCCATTCTAGCCATGTCCATTGATTTGATGAGATCACGATAGGCTGCAAACGGAAACAGCTAGCGGTGTAAAATTTTCCACAAATAAGTATTCCTTGTTGATAAGGTTATGGTACCAGAGTCTTTAGTGGGAATTGAACCTACAAACTCGGTAATTGAAAATAATATATTTTTTAAGTTTTTGGTAACGTTCCATTTCTTCCCATTTTTTTTATTAATTTTATTTTTAACAACTAAATTTTGTTTTTATGTCTCTCAATTTCAAGCCAATTAAACAATTTTATTTTAATTTCTCATGCTCATTTGAAATTGACAACATCCTTAAAAACAAGGACATGTTTTAATTGCTTTTCTTGTCTCTTGATCAAATTAAATACCCAGAACAAATCTATTTAGTGAAAGCTCCACAAACCCCAAAACACTATAGTAAAAAAGAAAGAAAGAAAGAAAAAAAAAACAGTTGACACCATCATTAAACTTAATGAAGACAAGCATTAACAACAAAAGCACACAAAAAAGTAACAACAAAATTATTGCCTGAAAGGACCGTCAGACTAGTACTGGTTTTTACACTTAGACTGAAAACGTTTGTTTGGTTTTTATGGGAAACTTACAAGTACGTAAAAAAAACTACACTTCAACTTGTACTAATCAGTAGATGAGG